TAGATGCAAAGCAAGTCAGACCTAGGGCTGTGTGATGTATTGAATATCACAGTATATTTGTAATTGTTTTTGCTGGTCACATAATACCAAGCAAAAGTTGGTTTCCTAAAGATCATGTGATTAAACTAGTTTCATGATCATTTGTTTTTATGAGAGGAGATTCAATAACACTGTTAGAGTTTCCATTTATTAATTTCACAAATCAGTTCGATTTCAATGAATTGAGAGTCAAAACTCTGATTCGATGATATAATGAATACAAGTTCTAATATGTATAATTAATACAAATACAGGTGAAAACTCGAGAAATTAGAATATGGTGCAAAAGTTCATTTATTTCAGTAATTCAACTTAAAAAGGTGAAACTAATATATTATATAGACTCATTACATGCAAAGTGAGATATTTCAAGCCTTTATTTCTTATAATTTTTGATTATGGCTTACAGATATGAAAACTTTCTCACATTCACAATATTCTAATTTTGAATTTGGGGTTTTCATAAGCTGCCATAATCATTTCAATTATAACAAATAAAGGCTTGAAATATCTCACTTTGCATGTAATGAGTCTATATCATATATTAGTTTCACCTTTTAAGTTGAATTACTGAAATAAATGAACTTTTGCACCATATTCTAATTTTTCGAGTTTCACCTGTATAATAACAAAAGGTAAATCAGCATTTATAGAACATCACTGTAATTAAAACCTGTTCATATATAAACAATTCTTAAGAGTGTCGTATTTCTCACATCAAAATGTTCTGGTAAAAAATAATGTAGGTAAATATCACTGTTTATCATATTGGTGCATAAAAATGTAAATTAATAAATATGATTCTTCACGTTCATTTACGGTAATTAAAAACAGTGTGGGAAAACCATGCATTGAATAATTGCAACTAGATTTTTTACACATGCTTACTTCTTGTGGTAAAACATTTTTGATTTTTTTTTTAAACAACCATATGAAATTATGTGAATTTCTGACCCGATTTATCTTTCTGGATGGCCTTGTCCTCAAAGTATCTGAACATCACCTGGAAGCGGTCGGCATCGTTTCGAGTGCAACATCCTGAGGAGGGCGGAGAGAGAGAGAGAGAGAGGGAGAGAGAGAGAGAGAGAGAAGTGAGAGAGAGAGAGGGAGAGAGTAGAGAGAGAGAGAGAGAGAGAGAGAGAGGGAGAGAGGAGAGGGGAGAGAGAGAGAGAGGGAGAGAGAGAGAGAGAGGAGGAGAGAGAGAGAGAGAGAGAGAGAAGAGAGAGAGAGAGAGAGAGAGGGAGAAGAGGAGAGGGGAGAGAGAGAGAGAGGGAGAGGGAGAGAGAGAGAGAGAGAGAGAGAGTAGAGAGAGAGAGAGAGAGAGAGAGGAGAGAGAGGGGGAGAGAGGAGAGAGGGGAGAGGGAGAGGGAGAGGGAGAGAGGGAGAGAGGGATCGGAGAGGGGGAGAGAGAGGGGGAGAGAGAGAGAGAGAGAGAGAGAGGGAGAGAGGGAGTGAGAGGGAGAGAGGGAGAGAGGGAGAGAGGAGAGAGGAGGGGGAGAGAGGGAGAGAGGGAGAGGGGGGGAGAGAGAGAGGAGAGGAGAGAGAGAGGAGAGAGAGAGAGAGAGAGGAGAGAGAGAGAGAGAGAGACGAGAGAGAGAGAGAGATGAGAGAGAGAGAGAGCAAAGAGAGAGAGAGAGAGAAGAGAGAGAGAGAGAGATGAGAGAGAGAGAGAGAGGAGAGAGAGACGAGAGCGAGAGAGAGAGAGAGAGAGAGAGATAGAGGAGATGAGAGAGCGAGAGAGAGCAAAGAGAGATGGGTAAATCACACCTCACAATTTTAGATTATGAGAGGCACTTCTGGTTTGTTTATCAAAAAGGTAATTTAATCATTAAATTACTATTGTTTTGCATCAATAAGGGCAGTTACTAATAATATTACATGTGTGTTTACTGGAAATTTGACATCGCATAACTTGAATTAAAATTAACTTTCATTAACAAAAGTAACGAGCAAAAACCTAATGTACAAATTCTACTCGTATTAAATGTACCATTGTTCTTCTATAGTATCACACTGAATGACCGACAGCCTCAGTGATTATAAAAGGAAGCAGTCTTTACTCTTTACTTGCTCTCTGCGTAATTGCATAAAGGTTTTGTTTTTCATGAGACTGTGACTTCCTACTTTTTTCCATATACAGGTGAAACTCGAAAAATTAGAATATGGTGCAAAAGTTCATTTATTTCAGTAATTCAACTTAAAAGGTGAAACTAATATATTATATAGACTCATTACATGCAAAGTGAGATATTTCAAGCCTTTATTTGTTATAATTTTGATGATTATGGCTTACAGATATGAAAACCCCAAATTCAAAATTAGAATATTGTGAAAAGGTTTTCATATCTGTAAGCCATAATCATCAAAATTATAACAAATAAAGGCTTGAAATATCTCACTTTACATGTAATGAGTCTATATAATATATTAGTTTCACCTTTTAAGTTGAATTACTGAAATAAATGAATCTTTGCACCATATTCAAATTTCTCGAGTTTCACCTGTATTAGGGTATGGAGGACCAACTCTACCATATTTAAAAATAAATACAGAAATAAATAAATGCTCAATAAATAAATAAGCATACAATTAATTGCCCCAAAAAATACAATAAACAAATAAATGTAGGTAGAAATTAAATTATACAGTGAGACATAAATGTATATACCTCTTTTAATTAGCTTCTTTATTTATTCACCTTTGTAATAATTACCTTATTTATTTATTGTCCGTTATAATCTTCAACTTTATTTATTAATTACTTATTTTTTGAAGTATTTATTTATGTGCATGTTATAATATTTTTGTCTGTTTTATTCTTCCTTTGTATTTTTTTACCCTATTTATTTCTTCAATGCTATTTATTTCTGCCTGTCGTTTTTACATTTCTGTATGCATTTCCGCCTCATTATGCAAATGAGGAGGGGCTGCGTCTTAAGGGGTCAACTTCTGCCCATTGGTTGGTTAGCATTTTACTGCATCGGTCGAATCTACATGCCACCGCGGCCGCGATATTCTTTTTTTTGCAGGGTGGTAGGGGAAGACTCATTAATATTCATTAGGGAACTCATCCCTGATTGTCAATTTAAAAGATACATTTTAAAGTCAAGAAAGTCGCAGTTTGATGTAAAACTGTTGAGGTATAAGACTGTGAAAATACGTAATTAAAAAGACTACAAACCCAAAAGGCGCACATTTTCTCTCAATGAATGAAGCTAACTTTACTGAAGCTAACTTTACTGGAGCTAACTTTAATGAAGCTAACGTCTGTCATTTGTTCTATAGTCTTACGTTATAATCGTAACGTTACGCCGTCATGCCGGAGTGTTTTGTACCAGACTGCACACACACCAGCAGCGGATCTCGCTCGTTGTTTCGCTTCCCGGGAGATGTAGTTCATTGAGCGATTTTCACATAAAACTAAATGTCACTCTTCTGTTTTATGTCCAACTGCGACTTTCTTGACTTTCATAATTATCTTTTAAATTGACAAACATCATATGTGTAATTCAGGGCACAGTTCAGACGGAATAAAAAGATAAAGTTGTCTCTCGCCATTGACTACCATACATATTTTTTCCGAAATAAGGTCCCATGAGCCGGAAGCGGAGGGGAGGGGCGTTGACCCCTTAAGACGCAGCCCCTCCTCATTTGCATAATGAGGCAGAAATGCATACAGAAATGTAAAAACGACAGGCAGAAATAAATAGCATTGAAGCAATAAATAGGGTAAAAAAATACAAAGGAAGAATAAAACAGATGCAATAAAACATGCACATAAATAAATACTTCAAAAAATAAGTAATTAATAAATAAAGTTGAAGATTATAACGGACAATAAATAAATAAGGTAATTATTACAAAGGTGAATAAATAAAGAAGCTAATTAAAAGAGATACATTTATGTCTCACTGTATAATTTAATTTCTACCTACATTTATTTGTTTTGTATTTTTTGGGGCAAATAATTGTATGCTTATTTATTTATTGAGCATTTATTTATTTCTGTATTTATTTTTAAATATGGTAGAGTTGGTCCTCCATATTAGGGAGTGGAAAAGGCTAAAAAGCCAATCAGTGCTCCTGTCTGTCAGTAACCATCTACTGGTTAGGGTGGTAATTTCATGTCTTTTAAAAAAATAACAAAAAAATGTGTGTTTGCTATGAAGTTAGTTTTCCTACATCTTTAAACTTTTATTTTAGAGCGAACCTTTCGCTGATTGTTTACTGTTTAACTGAATTTACTCCCATTGTTCGTGCAAATGAAGAGGATAATGAGCGGAGCTGTTCTGAAGAAAGTCAGAAAGACTGAAAACAGAAAGTTGGAGCGTCTCTGACCTCATATACTCCAGCCGGTAGACAGACAGCAGGTACGTGCACATGGCGAAGTCGAGTTTATTGATGAGGGCGGCGGCTTCAGGAGACGGATCCAGCAAATTAATGATGGTGCTGCGCAGTTCACTCAACTCCGCCTTCAAAAAAGGAGGATTTTACATAACAAACAAGAGCTTTTCAGAATGGGAAACTAGCATATACTGTATACTACTACTGTAAAACAGTAGGCAGTGTGCTACATAACTTCAACACATTGCATGTTCAGTGAATGGCATCCAGTTAACCTCAGAAATAAATAGGGTTAATTTGCATTTTTATTTGTTTTTGTAAAAACTTAGGAGAGTTAAAGGTGCTCTATGTAACTTTTCTACTAAAATGAATCCTTTTTTTATTGCCTGTGTGTGAAGAGGTTGTAATCACACATTAAAATGATCCACTTGTCGAGTTTTGCTATTTCCTCTGAAGGCCAGTATTCCTATTTCTATGTGAAGTCTCCGGGTCGGATTTACCACGAAATCCAACGGATGTGACGTGCATGCGCGCTCCCGAGCCTCTCTCCTTATATACAGTCTATTGTAGACGGTCAGGGAGTTACGTCCGGTTAAAGGCGCACGTTTTTCGGCTTATATCTCAGTCAATCTTTGATCAATATTTCCAAGACTTTAATCGTTCGTAGTGCTGGACGGGGCCTTTCGAACGAGCCCACCTCCGAGGTCCAACTCGCCCGGCTCCCCGAGTTAAAGACGTTCAAAATCGGGGGTCCCAGCGAACGGCGATCCGGTAGGGGGGCGTCCCCGAGGCCCGCCACTCTAGCGTTCCGGCAAGGGTTCCCCTGGGACTCCCCCGAATTTGAGCTCTCTGGGTCTTTGCGTTCCAGAGATACGAGCGATTTTCTTCTGAGATTGTGACGTCACCGGCGTCCGCAATTTTGCAGCGCACCCGATGGTTTTCTGCTAATATCTCCGCGAAAACACCACCAAAAACTATGGAACTTATATGGTTCTTTTCAGCTCGACTAGATGGTCCCAACGAGCTCGGTGCTCGCCGAATCAGTCTAGTATTCGCCGAGATATTTGCGTAATAGACGGTATTGTATGAGTTCGAGCACGAGCGCTCTTGTAAAATTTGGTTGCAATCTGAAACCAGTAATCACCACTAGAGGCCGCTAAAAGTTACATAGAGCACCTTTAAATCAAATAAGTAAATAACAAATATATTTTTAAATTTGTTTTGTCCCCCAGCATGTGAAATTCATCAGTTTGGTCACTTGCATTTACATTTATGCATTTAGAGACACTTTAATCCAAAAGCTACTTACTGTAGAAACAAAAGCAATTAGTCAAAAAGCCAACAATATTCATAATATACAATGCCAGCAAACTTCTTAGTAAAGTAGCTCTCCTCAACAAGACAAATGATTTGAGGAATAATTAATGTCTGACGCACAGACGATGCAGAGCTTTTCACTTACTATTAGAGTTCATAGTAATTTAGATACTAAACAACACTGAGACAGTGAGAGCGTTTGGATACCGGAGTAACCGTGTCGTTCTTCAGTGCCGAGTTGTACTGGAGCTCTGAACGCAGCGGTTCTCCACTCGGGAACGTGAGCAGAGGCGATTTAGTGGCGATTTCACACACTCCCTCGTACCATTCCTCAGGCCACAGACCTAAAACACAGGCAAACACACACTTCTGTAGAAATACTGCGAGAGAAATCCTGCTAGAGAACACGCTCAGATTGTGTACGTGGTGAATTCATGTTTAAATGCAGTCAGTAATGGTGATGATTTTATTTCCTTACCAGATCCTTCCACAGCAAAACCCATGACCACAGAATAGAGCCAGAAATCTCTGAAGAGCTTCTGCAGGCGAGGTTTGGCCTCCTTAATGGCGGGCAATCGGCGGGTCAGCTGCGTGAAATTACACAGCAAATTAAATACTTCAAACACAAAAACATGATCAAAATGTTAGTTCTTTAGAATGGTTATATTCTACAAAAAAGCACCGTGTGCCGTCACTGTTCTTCTTTAAAAAAAAACACAAAAAAATAATTTTTGTTTTAAATAATGAAAACTTACATAAAGAAATCATTATACAAATAAATAATATTTTAAAAATCAAGTAAAAAAATACATTGTTACAGTGATCAATACAGTATCAGTAACTTATCACGTCAGGGATTTGTTTACAGTCCACATTATTTAACATTTCGACATGCTCTGTTAGTCCAAAAATTATAAAAAGGGAGTCCATATCGTTAAAAACATTTACTTTTCTCTATTCTACATGTCAGTTTTTCCAAAGCAAGATTAAATGACATTTATTTGATCCATTAGGAGATTATCCCATGTTAAACGAAATCTATAAACTTGGATGTACAAGGTAAATATGCAATAAGCGCAATTTCGCTTCCAAGGAGAAACTCTCTTCAGTCAGTTCGCAAATCAAAAACCTTTTCTTACAATGAAATGTCGTTTCCTCATTACATTTAATACAGCTGTCAGGGATATCAGGATTAAACCTATGTAATTTAACTGGGGTAATGTAAGTCCTAAGAGGCCATTTACAGCATATCTGTAGTAATTTGCACCTAGAATTAATGGACGGAGAGCATTTCAAGGGTTAAATAAGTCAGATGTGAGGAATGTTTGAACTCGCTACTGTTTGATCAGTGAAGAGCCACTTCAAAGTCCAGCTGGGGATCGAATCCACAAACGGACGTCCACATACATACAAACAGAGAGATTCCAGAGGGAAAGAGCAGGTAAGCAGCTCAAACTAGCATTAAAGACTATAAGATTTCATAAGTGTGATATTTCAAAGATCAAGCTAAGAAAGTAACCAAAAGCAAATCCTTTAAGAATAATTGAAAATCACTATTGATGTCCCCATTAGTGTCTATGGGGGTTACGGCCCTGGATTTTGCAACATGCGTATGAGCATTGAGTGTTAGATTTCCGAGTGTAAAATCTGCAAGTGACGCTGTCAATCGTTCAATATTCCCATGTGTGCTTGTTTTATTTATTTTTTCATAGGATGTGGATCTTTCAAGTTATAGTTGCAGCCTCTCTCTTGAGTAGCCCAGCTCTGGCTGGGGTCAAAGACCTCAGTTCACACTTTGGTGGAGTTGAGAAGGAAAAGTTGGTGGATGCCCGTGGACTTTCACCAGGAGGAGGAAACACAGACATTGAGTCCATCCCGTTGGACTTCCATCGGGAAAACACGGTCACGAACGACCTCCCTCTGGAGGGACTGGAAGATGAAGACTACTTGGACTTCGATAAGATCTTTGCGGAAGGTGAGGATGACTACAGCGAAGGCGATCACATAGATGAGATCTCCACGCCGGCTCCTGACCTTGACCTCTTCTTGGAGCCAAGTGACCCCAAAATACGGAGAGCGCGTCTGTTGCGGCTCTTCCACGGGCAATCGCGCCTCCACCGAATCAACGTCGTCAACGGTCGTTTCGGGTTTCGGCTTTATCGGAAACTGCGCAATCGACTTAACCAGACGGACAACATTCTTCTTGCTCCTGTCGGGATCTCCATCGCGATGGGAATGATGTCTCTGGGAGCCGGACCGACCACTCAGGAACAACTCTACCAAACTCTCGGATTTGCCGAATTTGTCAACGCCAGCGCACATTACGATAACTCGACCGTGCACAAGCTGTTCCGCAAACTCACACACAGGCTCTTCAGACGAAACTTCGGGTACACTTTACGCTCCGTTAATGACCTGTATGTGAAACGCAACGTCCAAGTACAGGAGGCTTTCCGTGCCGACGCAAAGACGTACTACTTTGCCGAGCCTCAGTCTGTGGATTTTGCCGACCCGGCGTTCCTTGTGAAGGCCAACCAACGCATTCAGAAAATCACCAAAGGTCTGATAAAGGAACCGCTGAAGAGCGTCGACCCCAACATGGCAGTGATGCTCCTGAACTACCTCTACTTCAAAGGTGAACCAATTCAAGCCCATTCTGGTGGTCAAGACCTAAAGTCTGAAACTCTTGACTAACGGTTTACCCCGTCGGCAATCAACCCTAAAGCAAATAATCATGCACTATGTGAAATGTTTTGTGTACTATGCAACATTTCATTTAGCCCGACTGCATTGACCAGCATCTTCACTAGTTTAATCAGTAAGACTACTAGGCTGGTCAAACAAGCATTGTCTTTCTTGTGAACCTGGTTAACCAGCCTCAGTAGGGGCTTTCGCACCAGAGGAACCTTTTCATAGTTTCTTGAACTAATGGCGTACCCACTTTTTGGTGTGTTCGCACTGCAGGAACTGGGAACGAATTTAATTCTAGGAACGCATTTTGGGGAACAAATGCTACTTCAGAGTAGGGTTCAACCCAGCACAATAGGAACCACCAGTGACGCAAGTGCTCGCCATTTTTAAAAAGCAGTGTAAACACACAGTTTACTTCATGAACAAACTCCACGATGGACATAAACAAGACATATACAGATAGCAAATGTTAACAGTTCTTTTCTCAGCCTCGATGATATGATCATACGATGATTTCGTCCTCTATTTTGCTCTTTCTATCGCATAACTTATACGTCTACATTCCATCTCCACTATCACGAATACCATGACACACAACAAAAACACAGCTCCGATCACGACGTCCTCCATTCTCCAGTTGTTGACGTCATTGAATGCAACGCTGAAACCTACAGTCGGCAAGTCTGGCAGATTAAGGGGACTTAGCCAAAATTTTGAATGTTTACAACTCTCATGCCCCTCCCCCACGAGGACCCTCCCATCGAGTTCGTGCTCATCCGTGCGTGTGCACCAGATTTTCTGTGAACGCGCCCGTCTCTTCAGCATCGATACATTTTCTACAGGTGTTTTCTTTCCCTTGGTTGTTTTGGACCTCTTAGCTCTGGTTGTTAACCGAGGAATTGGAAGCTTGTTAGTAGATTTTCTCTCCGCCATCACGCTTCGTACAATCCAACACACCTGCGAACTTCAGGCGTCTGTAGAGGCGCTTCGCGTCGGGTGGTTCTTCGCCTCTACGTTGTGCATTAAAATCCTTTAATGCATGGCTAGCCATGGATTATCCCATACCTGTTGGAGCATAGTGTCGGTTTCAGTGAATATGATTAAAAAAAAAAACTTGCCGACTGCAGCTTTAAAGGTTGTATCAGCGATTTCAGGGCCAAAAAAGGCCCAAACATAAATGATCACATTCATCTAATCTTTCCTAACGATCCGCTAGCTGTCCGCCCCATAAGCAGGCCGTCAAAAAAACGCGTCTCTGTAGGCAGCCTAGGCTCTGAGATCTGCACACAAAAACAATTGGGTTCACAAACCACTCAAAACCCAAATAAATAGTGTTCCAACCAATCACAGACAGGGGTTCGTTGATAGACACTGGCTTCTTCTTCGGCTCCGACTTCGCTTGCAGCCGTGCATGAGCGCAAAACCTCACAACACCCCGCCCCCTCCCCCTGTCGGTGATTGGTTGGAACACTATTTATTTTGGTTTTGAGTGGTTGGTGAACCCAATTCACCTTTGGCTAAGCCCCGCCCCCCTTAGTTACTGTTGCTACGTCCGACAAACAAACTTCATCTGGGCTCTGGTATCAACATGGCTTATGCTGTGACAGCTCTTCCCGCTGAAATGTTTTCAAACTTTTATAAAGCAGCAAATAAAGTGTCCGATAGAAGTAGGCAAAAGGGGCTGCAATATACGTTCGAAGGCTATATTCACGACATAAAAGGAAACGCAAGGAACAAGGCATCCAAAACGAGGCAAAAGCATACCGGTCACAGTCAAAAAATTAACCACCGCATATCCTACTAATGGAGACGGAGGCTGGGACTAACAATATCAAGGAGCAACACTGTTTATGCAAAGCTGGGTAGGTCTCTATTCACTTCTATAATCGTTATTACAAAGCAAAAAACGCACACCCCCCTCCAACCTCTCTGGGAAACGCGTATCTGTGTTACAAATGCCCCAGGCACAACGTTTAACCATATTTTAGATAAAACTACGACGGTAATAGCCTGCCGAGACCAAAAATATGAGACGCCTGTGTTAAAGTCAATGGAGCGCTGTGAAAAAGTGTCGGACCTCTGTGGCAGCTCGTTCTTGGCTGCGCTGTGATTGGTCAATCTACATTCTAGGGTGTGGCTTAGCCAAAGGCGAATTGTTTTTGTGTGCAGATCTCAGAGCCTAATCTGCCTACAGAGAGCTAGGGGATCGTTAAGAAAGATTAGATGAATGTGATAATTTATGTTTGGGTCTTTTTGGGGCCTGAAATCGCTACTACAACCTTTAAATAATGTCCCTGTCGGCCAGCTTACGTCACTTCAGAGTTCCTGCTCTGAAGTGACGTAATATTTCCTTAGGGGAACACTTAGTTCTCGGGGAACCACCCTTGTGACTAGTTCCTATAACTACCCGGTGCGCAAGCCCCTAAGTTTTGCTGGCAAACCTCATGCCTATGCTAACTAGACTTGCACCAAACAACCATAAACCACGACAATTGTTTTGTCTTTTCAACAGGGAAACTTGTAGATCAAAGAAGCCAACCCTGCTCACGGAGGGCTACCTTCCTGCAGACTTCATTACCAACACACCAGCCTAGAAGTTTCTAGTGATATCCTAAAGACCTTGATTAGCTGGTTCAGGTGTGTTAAATTAGAGCTGGAGCAAAACTCTGCTGGAAAGTGGCCCCCCCATGAGCACGATTGGACACCCCTACTTTGAACAGATTAGAAGTCAAAAGGAATAATATTACATGCAGCTCACATATAACACCAATGTCATGTGTCCCCAACAAACGCAGGTACGTGGGAGCAGAAGTTCCCGAAGGAACTGACACACTACCGGCAATTCCGTGTCAATGAGAAAAAGCAGGTGCGTGTTCCCATGATGCAGAACAAGGGG